AATCGTCTTTCCAATTTGATCCAGTGCGACGTTGTGAAAGGAGCGACTCTGTCGTCTCATCTATGTCTAGTTTGTAAGAGAAAGATTGATAGCGCAGAATTAAAATCCGCCAATAATGTAAAACAGTGGCGTGAAATTGTCAGTCATTCTAATATCTCCCAACCTGTGAACGAAAGGGTTAAGCGTGCTGCCTTGAAATCGCCTGCCAAAACTAAAATGGCGCGTGTCACGTGACTTTGTTTACTAAAGATAGCGTGGGCGTTTGATTGACACTCAACTCATTAGTATTCCACCAATCACAGCTACATCTACTTTCTGGATGTGCGCAGTCAAATTGTATAGGAGACAAGCTGGAGTCTCGTGTGGCGATAGCGATAACACCGGGACGAATGGTCTGGGGTAATAGAACACAGTAATGATATTGGTTATTCCTGCAAAGGATACTTGCATCCAAGGATTTGCCCTCAGTAAGTTCATTCACCCTTTCCAGTATGAATGGTGTCACCTCCTTTCCTACAATACCATTCTTTCTGTAATTAAAATGATATATACATATTTGATAAAAACCTGTTCAAAATATACCGCAAAGAGATTGGTTAAACTTAAAAGTGAACATATATGTATAATTTGTAAAAAACAAGCAGCCAGTCGGCTGAGATAGCTCCGCTGTTCGCAATGCATATTTCAATGAAAGAACAGAAGATATCATTAGAAAATGAACAATATGTATAGTATCAAATCAATGGGACTTGCTGTTTTCAACAAGAATTCAAGAATATCACTTTTCACCAAAAATGACAAAAATAATCATCAAAATTAGAGAATTGAAGATATCATCACGAAATGAACAAATCTGAGAGAGGTCCACATGTAGTACCTATATATGTAATATCAAAGTAATTGGACTTACGGTTTTTAACAAGAAGTCGAAAATATCACTTTTTACCAAAAATTACAAAAATATTCACCAAAATTAGAGAATTGAAGATATCAACATGAAATGAACAAACTAAGAGAGGTCTACCCAAGGTACATATACATCAAGTATCAAAGCATTCAGGCTTGTAGTTTTCAAGAAGAAGTCGAAAAAGTAAAACATTGACACGAACGACGACGGACAATCACTCATATGATAAGCTCCGCTTGACAAAGTCGACAGCAGAGCTAAAAAGGGAGACTCGTGACACCCACTTGTAGTTTGCAGAGACTTGGTATTATTCTCACCAATATCATTACGAATTTACGGTATAACCAATAAACTGTTGACAATTTTCTACTCTTTACAAAGAATGATTCTTATCAATATTAGCAAGAATAATATTATCAAGTTTTACCAACTTAGAGACCAACTGTTCACTCTAATCTCACACTTTCAACAATAATGACAGTCTTTCCTATATACGGAACACCTGTCACAGCTGAATATCATAGAACTGAGCAAAAATTAAAGTAAAAGCATTCACTGGAGAAATAATTGATTTACATATTGAGTATTTTTATGAATAGGTCTATGAAAAGTGGGAAACAAAATTGGAATATAATGAGACGGAAAACACAATATTTCTACTGAGTATACCAGTGACGCTAGAAATGTGAGATCATGACAATTTTCACATTTTAAAGATTATTGGTGATTATCACTGCTGAAAAAATTCTTAAAATATTTTATGATTTGACAGGCTTGAGAAATTTTACAAATATTTCTTGTGAAATTAATTAAAAGCAGTTTAGAGTATTCAAGCAACTGGTTATCTGGTGCATTTGTTGAAAAAGAGTAAAATAAAGAAATATTTGATTTTTATGAAAAATAAAATAATTTACCTAATGAGTACAACTAAACATAACATGGTTATAGACAGTTCAGACAATATTTAAAAATAAAAAATTTTATTAGAAATAAGTAAGCTGTTTTTCTGACTGTTTGTTTGTTTGTTTGCTTGCTTGCTTTTCTTTTCATATCTTAAGACTTTATTGCTGTACACTAATAAGTTGTGTTCACGTTACACGAAGTAGGGGCTAAGATTTAAGCTGATTAAGGCTTATCTAGCATATTTGCATTTCGGCTAGACCCAATTGCGTCCACGCACAGGGAGGGCCAGTCGTTAGCACGGGCTAAGGGGTGCCATTAGTCGATGACCTTTGGTGAAGTGACGTGCACAGGAACGCGAGAGAAGACGGACCCAACTTATTTGGATGCACAGAAACAGTATACAACGGCGTAACAGAATACAGAGTTTTATTAATGCATGTCGTAGACAGCGAACCAAATTTGTTTTGTCTACAATTGGAGCTGCTGTACGCTCTACTACAGCGACCGATCAGTGTGGAAGTGAGCGCGGAGTAATGACTGGTGGAATAGAGTCGTTATACGAACATGGGACAATGCAATATTCCTCGAAAACTTCAGGTCTGTTAACTTTGGGAATGAGAAAGTTGGACGTATTTGATCACGTGTATAATTTTCACACCCAAAGGTCACCGCAGAGGGCGCTTAGCCCTGGGATAAGCTTTCGCGCAGACTTCGTTAGCCCGTGCTAAGGGTCTAGACCGCGTCTTAAATTCGAATGAGATTTAACCCGTACTTAGCATTCCTTAGCCCGTTCATGCACGTTTTCTTAGCACGGGCTAAGGAATTTGACCTCTTAGCCCGTGCTAAGGAACTGTGCGTGAACGCAACTATAGAAATGTTTATTTTTTAATCTGGACCATTTTGCTGATAATCTAGTCTAGTTAAATAATGTTACAGCTGATATAGAAATTACAGTGTTTCCATAGTTCCTACAATTGACAGAGTCCACTCTTTAAATAGTAAACATTAAGGTAGAAGCCTACTCGTGATTTCAAAAACACAGAATTTCCTAATTTTTTAATATATTGTACTTCCAGGCAATATAAGAATATTGACTTTGAAAAAAATGGGGGTCACCAGGTTAATTTTCGAGAAAATCATGGTTGTATTTTAGTGGATAGCGGTCATTTTGGCAGTATTATAGTGCTTTTACCATAAGTTCCTATGGCAGAGATATTATGGCATATCTCAAATTGTAGGCTGGTGACATAGGCTTTTTGTTTTCCTGAATTTTTTCAAAAATCTGTGTTTTAAAAAGTGTTGAAAAATGCAATTTTTGTTTAACATTGCGCTCTATGGAATTGTTCTAAAAATAGCTATTTTTGAAAAAATGTAGTACAAGTTTCTCAAAATACGTCACTGTAACACACAATAGAATGCTATGTTATGGTGCCATGGGATAATAGCCTCATGATTTTACATAATAAACCAATAAACATTGTCATGTGATTTATGACAAAATTTCTCATAAAATATGAGTAGGCTTCTACCTTAAAGGTCAACTTACTGTGCCTCTTCAACCGATTGTTGAATTGCGGCATCTATCAGTTCTCCTAAATCAGAATCTTGTTTTGGTATAGGCACTCCAATTAACATTCCACTGTTCAAACCAAGGCTAAGATTACGTTCTAAAATAAAGAAAATATATTAGGTGAAGTAGACTGATCACTTATCACACATTTGTTATACAATAATTGTGGCCTATTAACATAAAATGCATAGTCTGAATCGCATGATTCTGGCCATTCAAAACCGGCCCACAAACCCGTGCGTGATTGTGTTTGGAAAAGCTTTATTTAACTGCAGTTAGATTAAGTCATTTGATTGAGCTGGCGCCACCAATCAGCATTGCTGTACCATAAATGTGAATGTCTGGGGTCATCACAGTTTAAAACAATGGTAGCATGTAGGCTTTGCACTGATTCACTGAGAGTCAAGAACAGGTTTAAAATTTTTTTTATTCCAACGTTGAAAATTGCTTGTGGGCAAGTGGATGAAGACGATTGAATGTCTAAATATTTGTGCAAACTGTGTTGTCAGTTTAATATTGACATAACATATTGACTTGCTCATATGGTCTTTGTTGCAGCAAACACATCATTTTCCTCAGATACATCACTAAACGCTTTCTTTTGATGATCAGTAAGCTCGTTCACAGAGCAAAAAGCTAGCAACACGATTTCTATATCCTGCCATTTTAATTTCACCAAGTACTAGTATGTGTCGTCTCTATCGTGAGTTCTGATTGGGTAATGCAAATGAGCCCAAGTGAATTTTATAATCGCTTGAGGGGCGTGCGACATACAGTGAATCATGGTGAAATCTGCCAAGGGCTAATTTTGAGGCTTCGGCCGAATAAATGGTCCTTGGCTGGCGAGGATGCATAAAATGATTATATCTAATTATTATTTGGTAATACCTATCATTTTTGCTGCTTCTTGTGGTGTTTTTAAATTATATGGTACTGTGTATCCACTATTTGGTGTAAAAAACGCTGGAAATTCTTTGTTCTTTCCATATGCTGCAACAGTTACTCCTTCAGTCTCCTAAAGAAGTAAATAACAAAAAATAAAACTAAACAGTAAAAAATCTACCTAGAAATAACCCATTGCAGAATGAGGCCTGTAAATGGGAAGTCAAGGCAAACAAAACAATGCTTCCATAAGAAAGAGTTCAATAAATGTAGGAGAATGCAATTTCCAGTTTTTTTATATCACTTTTCATTCCTAGATATTAAACTTTTCATCAGTGTTATGTAGTCCGCCATCATGATTCTCCAGCAAAGGATTGTAGGTAAAGTGTGACATCATATCCTCTGTTAAGAAAAAATGAGATAATGCTTGACTTGACTTTTCTTTTAATAGTCATGCCCTAAACTTGATGTATTTTTGCATAATAACTCACCAATTACTCCAACCAGTGTTTTCCCAATATCCAATATTAACTCACCAATTACTCCAACCAGTGTTTTCCCAATATCCAATATTAACTCACCAAATACTCCAGTGTTTTCTCAATATCCAATATTAACTCACCAATTACTCCAACCAGTGTTTTCCCAATATCCAGTATTAACTCACCAAATACTCCAGTGTTTTCCCAATATCCAATATTAACTCACCAAATACTCCAGTGTTTTCCCAATATCCAATATTAACTCACCAAATACTCCAGTGTTTTCCCAATATCCAATATTAACTCACCAATTACTCCAACCAGTGTTTTCCCAATATCCAATATTAACTCACCAATTACTCCAACCAGTGTTTTCCCAATATCCAATATTAACTCACCAAATACTCCAGTGTTTTCCCAATATCCAATATTAACTCACCAAATACTCCAATGTTTTCTCAATATCCAATATTAACTCACCAAATACTCCAGTGTTTTCCCAATATCCAATATTAACTCACCAAATACTCCAATGTTTTCCCTATATCCAATATTAACTCACCAAATACTCCAATGTTTTGCCAATATCCAATATTAACTCACCAAATACTCCAGTGTTTTCCCAATATCCAATATTAACTCACCAAATACTCCAATGTTTTCCCAATATCCAATATTAACTCACCAAATACTCCAGTGTTTTCCCAATATCCAATATTAACTCACCAAATACTCCAGTGTTTTCCCAATATCCAATATTAACTCACCAAATACTCTAGTGTTTTCCCAATATCCAATATTAACTCACCAAATACTCCAGTGTTTTCCCAATATCCAGTATTGATTTAATACCAGCTGAAACAACAGCCATAGGTGTTCGTCCAAGTTCAATCAAATCAGCACTAATGTCCATCGCTGAAAAAAAATAGTTTTTCCACTTAAACAAATAAGATGTTTGGTGATATCTGTTTGAGGGTCTTGTTCAATGTCAAGAGTGCATTGAAACTTTAACTTTTTGAATCCAAATGTCTACTTTAACAAAATATATAAAATACAAAAAATACAAAAATGTATATATTGCATATTAATTTTTCCATACTTTTACAAACATTTTCAGCAAAAATTAATTCCAACTAAAATAAAGTATTTATAGTATATTGGTAATATTCATTCAAACATTTCTGAATTCTGTCAAGACAACAGTATTCAAGTGGCTGATCTTCAAAGTTGATCGCATATCCTGGTCACTACTTTAATAATACCTTTTTAAAATATTCATCAAGGTAAACTAAAGCATAAACATGCAGTTCTGGCTTTTCTCAGGATTCAACCAATTACGAAACAAACACTAAGTAGAGTGTGCAGAAATGGCACAGTTGAATTATGCAAATGTTGAATACTGTGAAATACTTTATTTTAGCTGGAATTAATTTTCGCTAAAAAGATTTTATTGGTGTTTTGCATGTTATTTGACAAGTTGAATGTAAAGTATAGGAAACAGGTATATTCGATGGATTTTATTTTCATTGAATCATTCCCAGTGAAAATAAAGTATTGTACAGTAAGCCACTGCACTTTAGAAGTGGAAGTTATAATTTAGCTGATCTTTTCTTTCTTTTTCTTAAAAAGATGTATTATAATAATAATTATCAACAAAATTTCAGAATTTATGCCTTTGCTCATTGTATGCCCCATTATATATGCTCCACAATTATTTGGTTTGTGTTTTCATGAGGGGGTGAAATAGACTACAATATAAACACAGTCAAGTACAATAGCGAAATTTGCTGAAGTGATCAGCAACATAGATTTTCTTTCAGTTTTGCACAATTTTGGGAGAACCTACCTCCCCCAAAAGTTGTGACATCTTTCAATCTGAAGTATATCCATTTTTAATAGGCCTTAGCTTAATAACTTATAAAACCTATGATTTGCAGCCATCTTACCAGTGATGAGCAAGGAACTGTGTCTCTGATAAGGATGTATGTCACGTTTCATTTTTTTATGGTGTTTCAAGCAAGTAGAATAAGCAACTTACTTGATTCTGCCCCTCTATGCACACCACCTATACCCCCTGTGACAAATACATGAATCCCAAACTTGTGAGCAGCAACCATGGTACCGGACACTGTGGTTCCTCCCATTAAGCCCTAAAGGGGAAATGATTCAGATTGAATAGATCATATCATATCTAACTTAATTGCTCATCAAAAAATCTTCTATTATTTTTTCTGTTACATTTACAGATTGATATTTTAAGCAAAAAGAAGATAATTCTAATATATTAGGGAACAATAGAATAATACTTATTAAATATTTTTTTTGTTTTGTGGTTATAAGGTAGTTATTTCTTGATATTAATTCCGATCTAACAATGTGTTGTGTGGATGCAAGTGATCACACAGTTCTATCGTGATAAGAATCTTGTAAAATTTTTTATCAAGAACATTTACACATTTCAAGTTTGTTAAATCATATATAATCACAGGGAAACATGTATTTTGATAGATTAATGAAGACTTGCTATGTGTCTGTCAATTGACCTACATTCATGCTGACTTTGTAAAAAAAAAAAAAATAACCTACCTTTGATAATACCAGTGATAAATCCCTTCTGGAAACTTTAACACAATTATCATATGTGGATAGTGTTTCTAACTGTGTTTCTGTCAAACCGATATGTATTTTTCCATGTAACACGGCAATGGTGGCAGGAACACAATGATTTTCTCTCACTACGGATTCTACCAACAGTGCTGTCCTGAGAAAAAGGATGAAGAAATTAAAAAGAATCAAAAACATGTAAAATCCACTTTTCGATAGTTTTATGTTGTATGGATGGTTAGCTGTAGAGGAAAGAAGATTGCAAGAAATATTCCCGCCATTATCTCCTTGCTGAAACAAGGACACATCAATTTTAAATCAAATCAAATAAATAATGTGCATAAGTAATTTACACAAGTATAATTATAAACAGACAACACCATATTTGATTGAAATTGGTCCAGGTGCACCAGAAATGGTTGACGACATGTTGAAACAAAATGTGTATAACTTGTCTTTGTACTTAATGTACTGTACTGTGACTTATCCATCAAAGCATGTTTGAGAAATGATTGAAGACACATCAAAATAAAACAGATGGTCATTACGAATTAAATCCAGGGATTGTTTTAAACAAGGGAACAGAGGCGCAGCGCCCTCATGCCATGGCAGTGCGTCCCCTTACGGTGGGGAGTAGATTCTCTGGCAACAATAACATTCTGAATGACCAGGGATCACATGTGGCCACAGTCTTCAACTATGATCTGTCTGATAGTAATTTTGGCCCCAAGGAAGCCATAGAATGCTCCATTTTAACTCCACACCCTGGTAGGGAGAACCCTATCTCCCCCACTTGGTGGCGCCACTGAATTTCAGTGCTCCCTCTCGCAGTTTTTTTCTATAAAAAAAAACTGAAATCACAAAACATTGTAATGCACATCAGTAACCAATTACAATGTATATGTGATGTTCATAAAATGTAATGTAAAATCGATCATAACATGCATTTTATTGAATTTAAGGAAAATGGCCACCAGTCAGTAAGATTGTATCAAAATACTAAAATACTTAAGGATCATGCAACTTATGTGTTGCCTTTGTACACAATTTAAATAAAATCTGTGAAAGTGCATTTGTGTATCTGACAAGACAACTATTGGGTCAATTTGAATGAAATCACAAAAGAAGATGATGTGCATCAATGTCCCAACATGAGAGATGTCAATGCCAACTTTGAATGAATAAAAAGCTTAGAGCCATGCATGCCTGAAAAATAGTTGATTACATGTCAAATTGTTGATTGAAATTGAACAAAATCAATCCAGACATGTCGGAGAAATGATGTCAGATGGAATGGAACCACAAGACACAAGTCTCAGTTCTGCACTACATCTAACAGGAACTAGTAATACTGTTATTGCAAGAATATGGAAAGGTATTTACTCAGGCAGTACAGGATCACATCACCCAATAACTGTACTGTCCCTGTGTATGCTGTATTATTGTGACAAACTCATAGCATACCTTAGATTGTGTGGATATGGCATCCCATGTGTAATGATGGTGCTTTCTAATGCCACAACTGGCTTACCCACAGATATTGCTTCACTTATTTCAGAATGGACACAAAACACACCTGTAATAAAACAAAACAGAAATAGTTTCATTCATTTATTCAATTCAATAAGGACAGATTGAGTACACCAAATCAAGCATATAATTGTTTTCTGTGCTGTTAAATGAAATTACCAAATGTAAACATTAAACAAACAAAAAATATATTTCCATAACTCAAAGTTTGGTTAAATTTAAGTTTGAGTGATTGAATTTGGATGTTCATCAAAAACAAAAATATAAGTTGCCTGTAAGTTCGGACATCATGTTACAATACGGACATGATACGTTTTGCAAAAGTGTTCTAAAATATGGGTGTGGCCATTTCTGTAACACAATGTTTCTAAAACTTGATGCCCATAACTAAATAATTCATTATCTCCATCATGTTATACTGTCACATTGGTGCAATGACACATTTATCGCTTTAGATTGTTATGAAACACATGTAGATTTCAAGTTCATATCACCAAGATGAATATCTAAAAACACTTGATTGATTCATATCCACTGTGTTTACTTGATCAAAAGTTGACCAGCCATGCCAATCAGATATCATATGATACTACACTTCTGAATACCAGTATTTGCAATCACATAATACAATGTAAAATTGAAATTCGCTATTATCGAAATTGCAGTATGGTCTGTTGGCATTGATTTCGCTGGATAAAGTTTTATTAGAAAGATTATATAGGTAAAACAAGTACTGAGATAGTTTTAACAGCCTTCATAATGATAATAAACAAATGAAAATAAATATGCAGGTCTATTTTTTAATGGTGAAACAATGAACTCATTCATATTCATGACCTGTTTTTTTTTTATGGCCATCACTGATTTTTACTCTAAAACCAACCAGTTCACAGTATGTATCATAAGATATATATAATCACCATTTTTTTGACCATTGATTTATTGTATGTTCTTTCATTTATACTAAATTTCTACATGTACCTATAATTTGTGTGTGAGGTCTAAATATCTTCTGCCTAGAAATGTCCAAGATGCAAGACGAACAGACACGCACACAAAGGTCTAGCAAACTAAATTATTTGGACATACCATTTGATAGATTTCTTTTTTTAAGATGTGTTACAATACTGTTCTTTTTAAAGAGAGTTACAGCTGCAGGGAATGCACTTTTAATGAATGAAGGCATAGTTCACACTTTAGTCATCCACCCATTAATGTCCTATAGAAAGAAGAAGAGAAGCATTTTACAGACACTCTTAAGAAGTACTAGTAGTTGTCCAACAATTTCTCATGAATGAATGTGGGTGCTCCAAAGGTCCTATAGTCCAGGATAACAAAACAAAGGCTTGTCTGTAAACAATGACACGCTATGGCCATCTGACGTACGCATGCGTAGGTGACGACTCACCCACTTTAAATGTCTTAAAATTGACAATAAAGAACATGTAATCTGATCGACTGGGCAATATAATAACTCACTAAAGTATTGCTAATATATATGTTGCCCCCCCTCAATCACTGTGGACAAATGCAAAATAGTAGTCAATTAGTGAAGCGCAACATTCAGACCAACTCTCACTCTCAGTCATTCCAGTCAGAGCCCACTTTAGGTCATTTTTTATTATCCAGGAAACGTTCTGAGCGCCGCGCCTGTGGTCAGAGCGCGTTCAATCCAAAGTCTTAAATCTGAATTTAGCGATTGCGCCATTTAGAGCGAGATTCATTCTTTCATTCAATATACCTTTCATCTAACACCAATATAAACATCAAGTCGTTAATCAGATCGCAACAGAAATTCTTTACAAAGCAGACAACAGCAGACAACCTGTGAACACATCCAACGTGTTTCTTGTACGGATTTGACCTTTGCACTCACCCTATTTGAGGGCGATATGTAAAATATTATTTTCAACCGAGTTAGGGGGCATCGATGTGTGTTGTTTTGGGGTCGCCGAAGGTCATCGTGTGGTTGTTTGTGTCCGGGTCTCAAGAAGTTGCGTGAGTTATAGTGGAGTTATAGTGCGAATAATCACCATGTTCAGTAATTGGCGCGACTGTCAGGTATGTGAAGTTTAAAAACGAGGTGTTTTGTGGCTGCAATTATGATGCTACCAACGTATTCATTTCGGGTGGCCTGGTTGATGCGGGGTGGAAGTGGTGCCAGTAGTTGGGGTGGAGTCACAGTCACTTGGGG